GACTTCCTGTGGCGGCATTTCCACTTGGCGCACTCCTCAAGTGAGGTGGTTGTTATGGATCTGGTCGGGGTGTACGTTGGGGTGGACGGTCAGCGTCGGGAGGTGCGGGTGCCCTGCGAGGCTCCAGGTGACCCTGATCCATTCCGTGGACTGTTGGTGAGCATTGCCCGGATGAAGGACCTGGTACTCGAGCTCCTCCACAGCCCTGAGCAGCCAGCAGAGGAGGAAGCCATGATGGTGGAGCCAGAGGCGGCCGAGGACGGTGAGCTCTAAGATGGCGCCCGGAGGGATGGGGGGCGGGGCACCCCGGGGAAATCGGCCCGCGGAGCCCGGGTACAGTCGCAGACGTGGAGAAAGAGAGGCTGGGGGGCAGAGGAATTGCATCTAAAAGTTGTTGGCATTTGCCACCATGTTTATCTGGGCTGCTTGTACTCAGGCGTTATCACTTCTCATGTATATCACCAAGAAGCGTGCTGAACGCTTACTCCTGTGTGCCAGGCGCTGGGCTGAGGTCTGGGAAAGAATGAGGTGAAAGCACTTGAGTTCCTGCCTCGCAGAACACAAGGGATTAGACAGGCAGGCACTTTTCCTAACGAGCCAAAGTGTGACTCCACGGCTCTCCGTAGCCATTGCCAACCGACAGAGCCCAGGAAGGCTCAGAGAGGTCGTGACTTTTGAGCTGGGTGTTGAAGGATGAAAAGGGATTTCACCAGGTGTGACAATATAAACGTGTGTAAGAGTCCAATTTGTCACAGAAGACGAACGGTTGGTTCCAAAGGTGGGACAGACTTAAGTTTAACAAGTCGTAATTCTTAGAGACTCCTTTTCCATATCCCAGTTTTGTAGGTGCGGTTTAAAAGTAGAAACGTGAAGTTTAACTGCATTAATTTTTTAAAATAAATCTTGAATACAAGATTTGGTACGAACGTTTTGACTGCCCTAAACTGAAAGACCTACGAACTAGATATTGGCGTCGGGACGTATTATTCTGCAGAGGAGCTTAAACTGTCCTTTCCTTTCCCTCTTGTTTACATCTTGATAATGTGGATGTTGGCTATAACCAAAAAGAACAATAAGGTGTTGGCTAGGACGTGAAGAAGTTGGAAATGTAAAATGGTATACCAACTTTGAAAAACAGTTTGGCAGTTCCTCAAAAAGTTAACATAAAGTTACCATATGACCCAGCAGTTCCACTGTTAGTCCTCCTAAGAGAACAGGAAACGTATGTTCACACAAAAACTTACGCACGAATGTTCATAGCATCTATATTCATAGTAACTTAAAAGTGGAAACAACAAAAATGTCCCTTATCCGGTAAGTGTGTAAGCAAAACTGGTATCTCTCTACAATGGAATATTATTTAGCAATAAAGAGGAATGAGGTATTGGTACATGCTACAACGTGAATGAACCTTGAAAACACTATGCTAAGTGAAAGAAGCCAGACACAAAAGCCCACATTTTGCATGCTTCCATTTCTAGGAAATGTCCAGAATAGGCACGGATGTAAAATAAAACACTTCATAATGTATAAAATCCTTTAAGTTGTCAACTGAGATTTCAACATTGCTTTCTATTTTAAAAATAGCCATTCAATTAAATTGTGTGATGTCTGTATCTTTTAGTTTCTGCTTCTGTTCTAAAAAGTAAATATCACGTTCATAGGCAGTAACATTTCAAAAAACTGATGTGAGCAAGTGGTGAAAATTGGGTATTAAATATAAAAATGTCAGTTCTTTATAAGTAGAAGGAAAACAAAGGAATACAAACTCATAAGAAACTGCTGTACAGTTTTCCAAAGTGGCAGGACCATTTTGCATTCCCATTAGCAATGTATAAGATTTCCAACTGCTTTGCATCCTTGGTAGTATTGCCAGTTTAAAAAAAAAAGAGAGAGAGAGACATTCTTATAGGTTTGTAGTGGCATCTTATTAGGGTTTTAGTTTGTATTTCGCTAATGACTAATGATGTTGAACATCTATTCATGTGTATATTTTCCATCTGCATCTCTTTAGTGAAGCGCGTGAGCAAATCTTTTGATCATTTTTTAACTGAGTTGTTTGGTTTGTTTTAATTATTAGAATGCAACAGTTCCTTACATATTTCTGGATATGAGTCCTTCAAAGTCTTGTTTCACTTTTCATTCTCTCACCAGTGTCCCATTGTACACTCTCATTTATAGAGAATTGGGGTTGTTTCTTGCCCTCACCCCTGACAACCTCCACCATTTTGGACTGCAGAATTAAGGAGCAAGGAGATGCTTTGGCTTTTGGTCCAATTCATAACACTCTGGCCATAGGTTAAGACCTGTGATGGACTGACTGACTGTGTCCCCCCCAAAACTTATACGTTGAAATCCTAAGATCCAGTTTGGTAGTAGTAGGAGGTGGGGCCTTTGGGAGGTAAGTAGGTCATGAGAGCGTGTTATTGCCCGCTGCTCTCCACCATGTGAGGATACAATGAGAAGACGGCCATCTGAAAACCAGGAAGTGGGCCCTCACCAGACATGGGATTTGCTGGCACCTTAATCTTGGATTTCACAACCTCCAGAACTGACGGAAATAAATGTTTGTCGTTTAAGCCACTCACTATGGTAGTTGGTTATAACAGCCTGAACTGAGACAAGATCAGTCTCCTGAGAGAAGAATATTGGCCTTTATGTTTATATTGGACCCTTTACTTCTCTAACTGTATTATGTATAGAATAATCTGGAAAGTTTGTTATTAATATGCAGATTTCCAAGTTCTTCTCCCAGAAAGGTTTATTCAGTAGGTGTGAAGTGAGGCCCAGGTTTTTGCAGTATTTAATAAACACCCAGATTGTCCTGATATAGGTGGCTCTGGGATGAGACTTTGAGAAACCCTGAAAATCTAAGGCCACTGACAGTCTAAGGACAAGGACAGTGCGTCCTTGTCTGCTGTGGTCACGATGCAGGGTTTATGTCCAGGCCTGAACAAAAACTAGACAAAAAGATAAGAAACATCAAGAATGATGTAATTTGGGGACATTTTTACTGAACATTCATACTGTCCCCTCCATCTCTTTCTCTGCTGTTATAGGCATATCTTAATTTTGGCAGATATCTTTTAAAGGGGGCTTTCAAATACGATGTTTTACTTGAATGGGTACTGGAGGGAAAGGTGTTTAATAAGTAAATAAATAAATTATAACATTTTCTCCTTATGTCATACAGTACCAGGCTGCCAGCTGTGGTGCTGCCATGGATTCTGTTCCATTTTTTGCAGGTCCACTGTTCTTAGAAAAAGTCATATTGAGGGCCGAGCCCATGGTGCACTTGGGAGAGTGTGACGCTGGGAGCGCAGCGACGCTCCCGCCGCGGGTTTGGATCCTATATAGGGATGACCAGTGCGCTCACTGGCTGAGCGCAGTGTGGGCAACACCACACCAAGGGTTGCAATCCCCTTACCGGTCACGAAAAAAGACAAAAAAAAAAAAAGTCATATTGACCTTTTCACCAAGGGCATGTGGAAGGTCTTTGGTCTTACAATAATAATTTTCTGAACAAAGGCAGAATGTATCCTGCTTACTTTCAAACAAACCTGTGAACGATGTAGAGCATGAATCATTACTTTTTTTTCACAGAAAAGGAAATATAGACAGTAGCAACAAAACATTCAACCTCTATAGAATCCAGGCATCCAGATGTTTGGACTGGGTAATACCAAACAATCAGTTAGTCTGAGGCTTTTCCCGAATTGGACAAACTATTCGGACATTGCATGTTTCAACCAACATGATTTAAGTTTTATCTACTGATGGAAACCAGTTGGGACTGACCTGATTTTCTGTTAATTAATCAAATGTTATTTTTCAAACTTGTTGGTACTTCTCAGCTGAAATAACGAAAAAGGCCTGTTACTTTAATCCTGTGATGGAATGTTTCTTTAAATTACAACTAGTTAGCAAATCTTCTAGGGCAACTAGGGCACCTCAGGCTCTGGTGAACACAAGTGAGCAGTGGTTGCTAATTGAAGGTGGTCTAGTTGGAAGAAGCCTGGAATAGTAAGGCAAGAGATCAGGATTCTTCTGCTTGCTTGAGCAGACTTTTGCTTCCTTAAACTTTCGTGAGAGTAGATACTGCAGGAAACAAATTTGTAGGAAGACTAAAACCAAAGTGGTAGCTACTCTTGAAATATAATTCATCCCTAAAGCAGGCAAACAAACAAAATCCTAACAATATGGGTGTTTATATACCTCCCATATAAAGGGGACCTGAAACCCAGAAGCCACAGGATTCAATGAGACAAGCAGAGGATTATTTTCATTCTAAAACATTATTCAAGTCATGCATAATTAATGTTGAAAAATCAGAAAATAAGGAAAAAGAGAAGACTAGTTAATAAATAAAGTCAATTAAAACTCTACCATCCAGTAAAAACACTATTAGCATATCAGTGTATATTTTTCCATGGATCCATAATATATGTATATTTCTTTTTTCTTTTTTAGAGGCTCGCCAGGACAGGGATCAGAACATGTGATCATACTACGTGGGAACCAGCTGAGCTCTTACCACCTGAGCTAGCCAGCCAGCCCTCGTATTATTTCAGATGGGATCGTACCCCAGCAGCTATCCTGAAATCCTCAAATCTGTTTCTTTGACTTGGTGCCATATTGTTAAGCACCTTGCAAGCCAATAAATATGCATCTTTATCACTCATTGTAATGGCTTCGTTGTATTCAACTGTGGGCTTGAAAATATTAACTAACAAGTCTAGTGCTTCCTGTGTGCTTGTTCTAAGCACTACAACAAGATGGAAGATTGGTAGTGTGATTACTTATTTTTGCAGACAGGGAAACTGAATTAAGGAGAAGTTAATTGACTTGCCATCTGGGATCCAACCCCAATTGGCCTGCATCAGAGTCCAAGCTCTTAACTCCTGGCCATACGGATTGTCACCTCATCCCCTTCAGTTGGCTATTTAGGTTATTTCTAATATTTCATTATTTTAACAGTGCAGATCAATTTAAACCTCCACTTACTCAAAAGAATGGTGGTGAAGGGTGGAGGCAGAAGGGGGGAGCATTGATAATTAGTAACTTTTCAATAAGAAATTAATAGGGGGACATTCTTTTGGGTAAGATCAGATTAGGTGTGCATTCTCATCGTAAAAGTTAGGGAAGTCCATAAAAATCACTGCAGTTACTCATGGGAAAGGGAATTCTTAGGCATGTGGAGAAGGCATCTTTGCAGCACTGTAGGAGAGACAGACTCCATCAATTGCGTGGATCTACATAGTAGAAAATAGTAACTCCGTAGTGGAAAAGAGTAGCCCTGATAATCAAAGTAGAGTTAATTTTCTGCAGTTTGAACTTTGATCTATTTTGAAGAGAGAAATACAAGTCCTTAGCCATTAGAGCATCAACTTCAAGTCAAGGAAGTGGGACTGGGTATCGTGGGAAGTGGAACAAAAGATAACTCACAAGCAGATCAGTGGACAAGGCAGGGCCAGGGCGGGGAGGAGGAAGGAGACCCACGTGAAGCCAGGCAGGCACTTACCTACCCCAGGTCCCAAGGCATCGCTGGCTCACTCCAGACACAGAGTTTCTTTACTTACGGCTGCGTATCATCACTACTTCCATTAAAAAGACTGCACACCTAACATATTTTCACTGTAGAAAAAAATTTTTAAGTACAGATGTATGAGAAGAAAGTAAAAACCACCCATTACCTTAAACATTCTTAGATACCCACCATTAAGAGTTGGCATATGTTTTCATATTATTTTCCTACATACTTTTAAAACACATATGGGATGATATTATACACACTAGTTTGCAGTCTGTTTTTCTCCACTCAGTAATAAATACATAATTAAATCATTATTCATATAGTGAAATGCTATGAAGCCATTAAAAGTTATAAAAATAGAAGTTATTTGACCAAATAGTAATGGACATTGTGCCCACATGGTCTTAAGTAGCTGGCAGCCATTTTTCCCTTGGTTCATGGAATTCTTAAATATTACAAAGTTAATCTTATCTTGGGATGATCTCATTGACTTTTAATCGCCTCTGCAATCAAGTAGAAGAGGGGGGTGGGGTCTGAACTTCAGGAGTGAAAAAAAAAAAACTCTTGTTACAATATTTTTTCAGAACTACTTTGGATAGCCTAGAGTAGCTTAGGAAAAAAGCTGAGCGATTATCACCCAGTCTTGTCCCTCTTTCTACCGCCACATTAACCTGAAAGAACAAAAATTGAGAACACCTTCCTCCTCTCTCCCCTTTTCTTCAGCTCTCACATACTAAGGAGTCAAGAAGAATCATCTACAAAACCACAATGGGAATGGCAAGCACGTCCTTTTTATGGACTAAAAACACAGCATTCCCTGAAAGCCAATCTTTTGATGCTGAGATTAGAAAGAGGTTTTCTAGTGCAGCGCCGGTCCAAGTATTAAGCACAAGTCAGATCGTATAAAAGTCTAAGCAGGTTGTAGAACAACCCAATGAGCTCAAAAAAGAGAAGAGCTCTAGTTAGAAAGTAAGACCCTTTTTTAATGTGATTTCCAGAGCCTCTAATCAGCACAATAAGGAAGACATCAATGTGATCAGCCATAATATTTATTGAGTTTCTACCACGTGCCAGACACTTTTTTGGGTGGTGGCTATGCAATATTGATCAAAAGAATCATGGTGCCTACCCCAATGGAACTTATGAGTTAGCAGAGGGGTCGGGGGAGGGGTAGTAAGTGAATGAACAGGTGGATAAATCAATCATTATAAAGAGTGATGAGATTCTAAATAGACATTTCTCCAAAGCTATTCAAATGGCTAGTTACCCACATGCTCAACTTAGTTATTCATTAGGGAAATGCAAATCAAAACCACAATGAGATATTACTTCACACCCAGGAGGGGGGCTGTCATAAAAAAGACAGACAATAACAAATGCTGATGAGGACATGGAGAAGTTGGAACTCTCATACACTGCTGGTGGGAATGTAAAATGGTGGAACTGATTTGGAAAGCTGTTTGATGGTTTCTTAAAAGGTTAAACATAGAGTTACCATATGATCTAGCAATTTCTCTCATAGGTAGATACCTAAGAGAAATGAAAACATATGTCCATGCAAAAACTTGTACACAAATGTTCACAACAGCATTATTGATAATAGCCAAGAAGTGGAAACAGCCCAAATGTCCATCAACAGAAGAATGGATAAACAAAATATGGTCTATCCATACAATGGAATATTATTAAGCCATAAAAAGGAATGAATACTGACACATGCTACAACATGGATGAACCTTGAAAACATTATGCTAAGTAAAGGAGCTGGTCACAAAAGGCCACAAATTGTAGGATTCCTTTTATAAGAAATGCTCAGCATAGGCAAATCCATAGAAACAGAAAGTAGATTAGTGGTTGCCAGGGGCTGGGGGTACAGGGGAATGAGGAATAACTGCTAATAGGTATGGGATTTCCTTTAGGGGTAATGAAATGTTCTAAAATTGTGGTGATAGCTGCGCATCTTTGTGAATGTCCCAAGAACCACAGAATTGTACACTTTAAAAGGATGAATTGTATGGTTTGTGAATTATATTTTAGAAAAGCTGTTAAAAAACAAAAAGTGATGAGGTGAGTTGAAGGAACAGAAACACAGGGCCTGAGGCATAACAGGGCCTTGTGTGCTTCAGGAATGAAAGAAGAGGTCTGTGTGACTGAGTGTGCTAAAGGGGTCAGAGGGGACAGTGCATCTCAAGAGTTCAGGGTGAGAGGTCTGGCAGACGAAGTCAGTAATTATAGGTGATTTGAGCTTATGTTCAAAGGACAGTGGGAAGTCCTTGAAGGCTATGAAACCCAGCTGTCACATAACCCCACTTGTACTTTAAACAGCTCTCTCTTCTTGAATTGTTAGGGCAGAAATAGATTGCTGTTCCAGCTATTAAAACCATATAAAAATCACTAACTTAAAAATTTAGAGTTAAGGGCTGGCCCGGTGGCGCACTGGAGAGTGGGCCGTTTGGGAGTATGGCGGCGCTCCCGCCGAGGGTTTGGATCCCATGTGGAGACCGGGTCCCGCTCACTGGCTGAGCGCGGTGCGAGCGCAACACCGAGGGTTGTGATCCCGTTACCGGTCAGTATAAAAGACAAAAAGGAAAAAAAAAATTTAGAGTTAAAAATAACAAGGTGTTATTTTCTTTTGACTTAATATGCATGCTAGGAAAATGAGAATATTAAAATACTTATTCAATAATAGAACAAAAGAAGTGTGTTTTCATTGTAAATAATAATGTACGTTTTTGCCTTTTTAAACCTGAATGTGTTCTGTTGCTTCTCTAGGACACAAGTTGAGAATTAAGTTATCCATGTTCTGTGGAATATACTATAAAGCATATGTACTTCACAGGGCCTGGGTTTCCAAAGTCTTGCAGTTTCAAATATTGACCTTGTGGAGGACTGGAAATTTTCCTCAGGCTATAAGTCTCTGTTGCAAGATAAGAATTGTGGCACAGCAAGGTTGCTGGCTCAAAGACAGATTAGTTACTGATTGATATCTAAGTTGCTGGAAAACTGCTAGAGGGAGAAGGAATGTTTACTAAGATCGATCTTTTGTTAATTTACTGGAATGTCATCTGGCTTGTTTCACTGAAAGTTACCAGCCTATACTGTTAAACTATAACCCCACCTATGTCTCTTCCTGTAACTTCCTGGTCTGGAAAATAAATGCAGGAAGAGAACCCCAATTTGGCATTAATTTCCCAAGGAAGGGTTGGCTCTCGCTTGAGCGTTCCCAGGGAAGTTAACCACTTCGGGGCTTCTCACTGCTCAGAAGAGATGGGCTTTGAGTAATCCTTTGCATCTCTGTCACCCAGGGGAAGTGGGGTGACAAATCCATGGGGGGCAAAGCAATGCAAAGCAACAGTGTTCGACGGTGCATATTTATACCACACACAGGTTCAGGTTCAATTGCACTGAAAAGAAAGAGCAAGCAGAAACATGTCTAGCAAAGGTCATGGTGGGGTGGGCCAAGGCGTTATTGTACATCAAATGTGGGATCATCGGTGTATCGGCACAGAGCACAAGTTGCCAGGAATCTTTTTGGCCTCTTGGTTGACACTGTCAAGAAGTTCTTGGGACTAATGACTGCATTTCAGAGATTCTGAGACTAATATCCCTAAATGAGAAAAGATGGGCTTTCCCAGCCTCAGGGAGGGCAGGAAAATATCTCAGGAAAGCAAGTCACACAGCCAGGTGGGAAGACAGCTGAAGGCTGTGCATGCCTTCTGGGACATCAAGTCAGGGCCCTGGGCAGTGGGGAAGGAACAAGCTTGGTGTGTCATCTGCCCAGGTCCCGAAGATGCCCAGTGTTTTCTGAACCTGTTCCAAGTTCCTCAACAACATAAGGCCTGTGAAATCTCTGGAAGAGCCATGTTCTCTTTTGGAGATGACAGTATCATTGGGAAAAAAAACCTCCCTTCATGGTTCCTGGCAGTGCTAGCAGGACAGGAACCAAAATATAAGAGAAGCAGCAGTTAAAAACATTTAAGGTAGAACATTCAGGTACACACACACACACCCCCAAGCACCATGCTAGGTAATTTCAAATATATTGAAAACTGGTGAAGAGCATCCATGGGGAGGAGAGAAGACTGGAGAGCCTGGATTCTTCCTCTTTGAATGCATTCCATTGTTTGGTTGTATCATAATTTATTTAGT